GAGGTTAGGGACAGAGTTTTGGGTAAATACGGTCGCCCACTGGAGCAAGTCGTCGACCTCCATAGATTGCGTTGGCTGGGACGTGTTACGCATGTCACCAGGTAGGTTACCACGGCGAGCGATGTTCGCCGAAGCAGACACTGAGTGGAAAAAATCCCAGGGTGGTCAAGGTAAGACCTGGCACGAGGGTATGAAAACCCTAACCAATAAACTGGGTCACATAGGTCCTGTTAGGCTCCCTGGCTGTGGACCTCGGGATGACCGTAACCGATGGTTAGAGACACTGATTGATATGACTGGGTGTCGTAAACAGTGGCGTTCGTGCATCTCCTCGATTTCTTTGCAACCCTAGTCCACTGAACTGATACACCATATAAGTTCCCATTGATTGACAAAGAACTGTTTAAGTCATTACAGAAGTTGGTGGCATAAATTCAACGTTCGCTGTAGCGCTTTCTCCTCCTTGTGCCATCTGTTTTCCTTCTCATCGGGTGTTGTGCTTGCACTCGCTCTGGATTGATTTATTCGAAGTAGCGCATCGCTCAATGTGAACTCAAATCTGCTATACAGTCACCGTAAAAGAATTTCAGTTCTAAATGGCAGATTTGGGCAAACGTATAGTAAAGGCGAAATTAATGAACGTGCTTGGCTCGCAGTGTTGCACGTGTAGGAACCACAATAATATGCTGGTCACCTTTCACCTCTTGGTGCTGATTAAACCATTGCACGGGGTGCTTTCAGAAGGTAGAAGCGTTTAGTCTAAGAGGCTGTGATGCGATAAGAAAAACGGCACACGTTTGATGCAACGGTGGCCTACACCGCCTGGCCAAGCGTTTTTCCAAATGGATGTTTTGTCACGTGATATAGCAACCTCGCGCAGCATGGGTATTGTCCGATCGTTAAGTTTCGAGTGCGATAGATAGTTGAGCGGATGTTGGAGAATGTAGATAATCTGGTTTCCTACAATCGATAGTGCGGGCGTTTAAATTAATGGTTTTTGGTCCGCATTGGTACCCCACAGTTATTATCCTGATTTCCCTGCCATGAACTGATAGAATTTGCTAATTGAGCCACCAGGTTAGGGCAGTGGTGGCCTAGTGGTTGGGTTGCCAACTTGTGACCTGGGAGTCCTGGGTTCGAACCTGTCCAGCGTCACCCTTCTTCGCGGGCAGCTTTTGTATGCCCCCCCCTGAATGAATGTTGACTTTACATTTNTATATTCCGTAAATAAAAAGGAAGTTAAAAGACTATCATTATTATTAATACATCTGAGCAACATACACACACATAAATCAAACATCGCTGTTCTTATTGTTCTTTGTTAACCGTTTCCCTCATTTTCACCCAACTGGAAGCCCCCTTCATTCTCACTGTTGTTACCTTGGCAACATGCTTCTCCCCAAGTCGATGTTAAGCACATAAGGTACCCGATCGGTCAAGAGACTTAACCGCCAATATTACTTCTGCCTATCCTATTGGTGGCGATTTGCTCACAGTGTGTTAATAGCTACAGTGTTTCATGTAATTGCTCCTGCGGTTTCTAGACGTAGTATCTCATGCAGATTTGTTTCCGCCCTACCCCCCCCCCTGTTTCAGCTGTACGGATTGTTAATTCCTCCAGACCCGGAAGCACTGTCATCCGGAGCCTGCATGGAATTGGTTGCTGGTGCTGGCGGGCGAGAAGCCGGTCTGTTTGCTCGTGATCTGTTGGACATGTATCGCTCGTTGGCCATTGCTCGTGGTTGGCAGTTCACCGTGGTCCAAGAGACCACAATGGTTGGAGATGAAGCAACTGGGGCTGGCAGTTCAGATTCCCCATTATTAAAAGCCCGCGTGGAAATAGTGGGTGAAGGCCAGGAGGAATCTCTGGACGCGGAAGGGGAAGCTGAGCCAGATTGTCGTGCATTGGGCGCTTTCGGTCAGTTACGTTGGGAATCTGGTGTACATCGAGTTCAACGGATTCCGGTCACTAGCAAACAGAATAAGATTCATACAAGCACAGTAGCAATATCCGTTCTACCTCTAACTGAAGAAGTAGGTAACAACAATCATTTATATCTACGTTTTATTCTTTTTCTGAGCATGCTGTATAAAAAATAATCAGTTTTTTCTTAAATATTCGACTGTTTATAGACTGCACTATGTGCTTTGCTTATCGCTGTTGTTGTTTTTTGTGTTCCACTGGAGCATAGAGAATATGCTTTTCTTTTAAGCTACTACTTTCATCCTATCCCACCCAAAGGATGTTCTCTGCCCGAGGTAAAACGAACTTTCTTCCGAAACGGTTTCGACCCGACTTGATGGATTTTCCCGGTCATTCTTTCAGGGCCCCTCTGAGGTAGGAGCCTCACAAATGTGATTTGTACTGCTTGTTCTTGATGGCACTTTGATACATTGTAGTTACAATTGAGTGCCTTTTTTTGTTTATATTGGTCATATTGCTCCTTTTGACCGAAGTAACTGTTTTTAGGCTGCTCAAAAATCCCTGTCCATTACTAGACGAATACGTACAAGAGTCAATAGGTTTTTCAGATTTAGCTCTCCTAAGTAATGCAGATACCGTACCTTTGTTATGTTATGAAGGTCTCCGATCCGTTTAACTCATTCCGAATCATAGTATTGCACAACTATCCAGCAGTGCTCATCGTCGACTTTCGTTCTCTTTGCTTCTCAGCGTACAGTAAATGAGGGATACAAAAGTGATTATGTGCATATAAGGTTTCCCCCTCGTCGAATAAATAAGCAATGAAAGGAAACCCACGGGTTCTGCTTTCGCATTTTTGGTTCATCGATCGTATCCCCAGGTTATGCTTGTCTAGATAATAACATCTAACTACTGGAATCTTCCTCCATTTTAGAGTACTGTCTTACTATTTCTTACCTGTTATAATTCAACCATTCGAATAAGCCGAAGTACAGCTAGCTAGTATGCGTATTGGACTTCCTGGCGTGCACAGTGATAGGCTGAATCCCTGGCAAACTGGTAGACGTCTCCCAATAATTCGTGTTAAATTATCATTGACTTTGACTGTGAATTCTACCCCTTTTTCCCGCCCACGTGGATGGCTTTGTGCCATCCAATCTGACCCGTGAACTCTTCTCTCGGCAAAACGCAGATTCACGTGGAACTGTCTGAGAATGAACTAAAATGGGACTACTTTCGTGCGTCTGGTGCCGGTGGACAACATGTAAATCGGACTGACAGTGCGGTTCGACTTACCCACTTGCCTACTGGAATCGTTGTCGCGTGTCAACAAGAGCGGAGTCAACATATGAACAAGAGGATGGCTTATGAAATGCTCATTGAGAAGTAAGACCTTCGAAATTTTTTTTCCACGGGCTATTATCATGTCAGTCTGTTTGCCCTATCACTCTTCCACTCGACAAGCACTACGCATCAGCTTCATTGTCCTCTCAATTATCTGATGCATCGGAAGCCCCCACCACTCACATACCAACCGTATAGGAATAGCTGATAGTGTTTTATTGTACACCTCTTCTAAAGGTGATTAGTGTATTGATTCATTTCAAGTCGTTACTCTGCTATAGGATGAGAATTGTTTACAACTACTTAGCATATTCGGTTATTTTTTGTAATTGTATGTTTATGCGTGTTAGACTCAGTTGAGGATCGTCTGAAATCATGATGTAAAGCGTGAACTAACCCGTCCAGATTTTAAGTGGTATCGCCTCGGGAACGCGAAATTGGCCTTTATGCACACGAGTGGTTTATGCGATTGTGACAACATTTGCTGTCGTCCTACTGTTTTCCGCTAGGTTCGAGAGTATTTTGAAAAACTGTGTTCTGAAAACAGTTCACATTCACAAGTGAACGCTAAATGAGGCTTTCGAAAAACCCGTAAATTTCTTATGAGATTTAAGCCGTAATGTAACCAAAATCGTGTCGGTATTTTCAACTGCATTTGATGAGTCTCCCTGTTGAAAACAAATCGTTTTTTTCTTGTTTTTCGGTGTTGTCACATGTTCGCCGTTTTACGCAAAATGCTTGTTATTTTGCCTTCGAAATCCAACTGTTCTGCCAGTTTCATCCCTCGGAATCACCGAATCTACCCAACGGAGTCTCGTGGATCATTTTACTCACATAATTCTCTCTTCCGCTACCACCACATTTCATACAGTAATCAACGTCTTTATTCTCCTAATCTTATTCACAGACTTAGAGACATTCAATATCAGAGTCAGTTCAATGCAGTCGACACTTTACGTCGTTCCCACTTTGGCCATCGAGACCGATCCGAGAAGATACGCACCTACAACTTCCCCCAGGATCGCATCACTGATCATCGTTTAAGTCGAACCTGGAATGGAGTGGCACGATTCATGCGACAGGCGGTCGGCCTGGCCGAAGCTCTTCAGGCACTCTACGCGAGGGAAAAGATAGCACGATTGCGACAGCTTCTTGTGGATCAAAATAATATCATTCCGAACAACGGCAACCAAGCCCACTGATCGATCCTGCTCCAAACATGATAATCTCTTGATGTAAATAGCATTTGTAGCCATTTGAGTTATCTTCTATTTCAGTACCCCCTCCCCCATTCGAACAAAACAGTAAGGGTTTTTCTTGCAACGATTGAGTTATTTCCGTTGCGTCCGGAATACTTTTTTCTCTCCGAATAAAACTTTACTGTTTGGAATGACACATTTTTTCTCTGAATTTTATACCGTGAAAAGCAGTTAACCCTTTTGGGTTCGGAATGGTTAGCAAACGAGCACTTTATTGAAGCCGTGGTCGTTCAGCGGTTCAAACAGTCTTGTTAAAATATTGTTACTCCGCTTCTATTCTATACTTTTGTTGTCTTTCACCTCCAGTCACGTGCCTGTCAAATGTGTTATACCAAACGTGTGTCCAGATGCGAGACGGGTGTGACAGAAAGTCTGATGTGGATATTCCTAAGTATCGAAGGCCTGTTGTGCTGACGTACCTATGGAGAGAATCTTGGGATTTCCCATAAGCAGGTGTTTGCGTGGGTGCATTCTGGAATGATTCTACTGAGGAAAATCGCAAGTTTCTGCGATTTTATCCTCGACCGGAACCCTATCCGCACAGCGGGACAGTTGACCGTCCTATTTGAGTCTCGTCGGTACTGTGCATACTTAATTTTATTGTAATACGAAAAATGAACCGAATAAATTAATGGATTGTTAAATTGAATATTGACCACCATTGAAATTGTGTATTTTAATAGCGGTTCAGTCAGCTCGCAGTTCGTTTAAATGAACTTATTTTACATGCGTATGTTTGGCACTAACAACAAGTACGGGATGTACTCTACTTATGTCACAAAGTTGGTGGTCGGTAAGCGTGCTGTACTACCTGACTGCGCACCGCTATGTAAACTGCACCATGAAAATTAGCTTCCCGGGTGAACCTCGCCTCAAAGTATGAGGAAATGCAAAGGTGGATTCAGAAGGCCCGGGAAAAGACAGGACAGATCGCAACAAAAAAAGCTAACCAGAAGATTTTTCTGATGCCAATGAGTTAATCCTGTAGTAAACGTCATACGTGGATTTCGTTATTCAGCGATTAAGATGATACACGATATACTAAAATCGATAGGGATTAAATTTAGATACATATCATTTTGTTCATAAGTAAGCATACGCGAGCTTGGAGAAATGTGAGCAAGGCTTAATAGAATGTAAGACATTCCTTTCGGGAGCCGTCCTGTTGTAACGTGGAGGCAGAAGACGTTTTGAGACAATATAATTCAATTGGTAGCACACTACAAGGTAACAATAAAAATATTAACCGAAAGGGGATTTACAGTTTGCATGAGTTACGAGTTCAGGGATTTCTCCTTGTCCGTAATAATGTTAACAGCAGAACGGTCTGAAATAGGAATAACGCATTGTGTCACAGTTTGTTGTAGGCACACGTATTAGCAATAACAATAATGGCAATGGCAAGTCAAGTTGGGACAGGGAGCATAAAAGATATAATAGTTATAGGTTCTCGATGGGCTAATGGTTTCGGCCATGCCGTACACCGTCTGCTTCTTTCAGGGTCCCGTCCCCGGAGCCACTTCAAGGCCGCTTTCAGCCGGTACTTCGACCTCGCATTCCACCGGTGGTGTCTCTGCCAGCCTTGTCTGATTCCAGTCACTAGTGCAGCGTTTTAAGCGATTGATGTGGACCACCGTTAATTGCTGTTGACTGGATGATAGTCTGAGAATCGCACAGTTCGTTTCGCTGATCAGGTGTTCTATCATGTAAGGCCCTTTGCAGAGGCTGTCGAATTTTCTCTTAATAGTTGTAGGTTCAATTATCTTCCTTGTCACCCGCGGCGAAAGGAACGGCGTGTGCCTTTTTATCATAATAGTCCTTTTGTCGTCTTTGTGTCGTTCCGAGGTGTTCGCGTGCCAGCAGCTCGCACCTTCGAATTGTCTCACTTAGCTGCATAAAGTATTCCTTTACGTTAGGATACACGTCACCAATAGATGGTAGTGTAGTGACCGTGATTGTACGAAGAAAAGGAACAATCCACGAGGACGTTTTCCGTTCACATTTTCTTCACAATCAACTCTGACTCCAACTGTGATATTTCTTTGTTTTACCGAGCACGGTTTTCTGCTCAGGCGTATATATAAGCTGGGTCCTGTTCAAACCCACGCTACACGTGTGACACGCTTTCGCTTTGCTACTGCATTTATTTGCTTGCATTCTTTAG